TGTTCAGTGAGGGAACAGGCTGCCATGGCAGGAGCAGAAAAGGCAGCACAAGGCCCATCTTACAGGTTTGGAGAAAGACACCTGGGGCTGTGAACTGAAGCCCCATAAACCTGTCATAAAATAAGGACACGACCCAGACAAGATGTCAGCTGAAATCTTTCCAGCTCACAGGTCTGTCCTCAAAAACTAACCACTCCGTGCACACTGCCCTTCTCATCTCAGTCCTGGCTGCAGCCACAGGACCTCACTCAAAACAGCTGCGTGTTCAGGAGGGCTGCTCAGTGAACTGCCCACCCCAAAGGGGTCTCAAATGCTCCCCAGGTGCTAGGCTCCAAGGCACCCCACCACTGCCATCAGCTGACACTCCACCAGAATGGAGCTCCACTGGCACCTGCACGTCCTCCTTGCAGCAGGGATGCTCTGCTGGTGAGTGCAATCACACCCGAGAGACAGACATCCATCATCCATGCCGTGCAGAAAGTGTGCAAGACAGGGTGAGGAGGCTCCTTGAAGCCCAGCGCTCACCGTTGGTGCTGACACACCACTCAGAGGCCTTCTGGGGAAATGCAGGACTCGATGGATCCCACGGCTCAGCCTGGATGGAAAGCACACTCTCACAGAGCAGCGGTCTGTGAAAGCAGAGACACCCACAGCTCTCCCCTGCCAGCTGTGTGGCTGCAGGTCCCACCGCACAGGCAGCGCTGCCCTGGGGTACTGGAGTTTGGGGCTTGGATCTGGCCACCATCAGCTCCATGTCCCTCCATACACTGGAAGCTCTCCTCTCTTTAGTCAGCCGTGGCTAAATTGCAGCCTCTGCAATGCTCAGCCGCCTCATTTCCCTTCCTTTCTCTATTTTCTGTCAGAAGAAAATGACATAGTGCTCACCAGTGGAGGAAATCAAAGACAACTATGTTGACCTCAACTTGGGCATGTTTCCATCCTGCTGACTATTCTTCTAATTCTCACCTCCTGGTCCCATATTCACTTTCAAACCATTAGGTCTCACCTCAAGTATTCATTTTTCTCTACTATTAGAAAGGTCTCTATGTCCACATTAAAGGTCTCCTATGAGCACAACCGAAATGCAAACCCCCTCTGGTTCCTTTGGAAAACAACATCCTATGAAACGCAGCTGTTTGGAGCAGGCCACTTGCTTTCTCTCTCACCTCCTGGTCCCATATTCACTTTCAAACCATTAGGTCTCACCTCAAGTATTCATTTTTCTCTACTATTAGAAAGGTCTCTATGTCCACATTAAAGGTCTCCTATGAGCACAACCGAAATGCAAACCCCCTCTGGTTCCTTTGGAAAACAACATCCTATGAAACGCAGCTGTTTGGAGCAGGCCACTTGCTTTCTCTGCAAAACATGCCACAGTGAGCACAACCATCCCTGCTTCATTCTCATTTGCAAGTGTTTGCTGAAACTTTCACAGGCATTTCTTATGTGCTAAATATAAAGTGCAAGTGCCTTTCCATAAGGCTCTGTCTGACAGGGGAGCAGCTGCTTCTGTGCCCATGCCACTGTCCTCACACACCGTACTGGCAGCACAAAATAAAACAGCAGCATGAAAGAGAGTTGCACCATCGATGCTGTGAGTACCTACAGGACTCACCTCCTGCCACTTGGCTCAGCAGCTGAATCACAGCTATCAATCCAAACTGAAGATCTTTCCTTTAAACTCACTTTAGTAGGTCACTTGCAACCCCTCAAGCTGCTGCTGGACACAGGGGAAGCCAAGAAAAAGGTGACACCTTCTGTTGACTCAGCTAATTACACTTGATTATTGCTGGAGCGGGTGCTGTGGCACTCGTGGGCTTTCCCCACTGCAACAACCCATGACTTGAGATGTGTTTCCCAACAAACAGCTCTCGGGGATTAAGATGAAGGGAGGAGAAGGGGGCTTGAGGTGCAAGCAGGGTTGCAGGTGAGAGCCCTAAACCTCCGCCTTGCTCAAGTGATGGCTCCATCACTGCAGGCTGAACTCAACTGGGGAAAAGTTAACAGAAGAATCACACTCACAGCTCCTTGAAACCCCAGCAGTCACCTACCCTTCTCACCCAGCTTCCCAGCACACACATTGAGAGCTCAATTCCTGAGGTTAAACACCTAAATTAATAAGGCATCTCCAGTCATGCTCTGGAAATATTTACTCCTTGCAAAATTACTGGTTGGTACCCAAGGATGGGACACACCTGGAAGTTCGGAATTCTACCTCTGCCCAAGTATGTGTCACTTCACAAGCACATCTAAGGAGAAAACCCCAGGAAACTAACATCTTCTGACCCCAAAGCAATGAACCCCCAGTTTTACCTGGATCGAGGTGTGTAAAGGACCCAATGACAAAGTCCAGTGTTGAGACAGCCAGCAGGAAGAGCAGCAGCAGCTGGAGCCTGATGATCCACTTCACCCCAGCCAGGTTGATCCCCAGCAGGCCGAGCAGGACAGCCAAGGAGATCCCACGCACTGCCCAGATGTTGCTGAGGCTCAGGACATCTGCAATGGACTCTGCAAAGCCAGTGATGTACATAGCACCTGCAACACACTGAGGAACAGAGCTCTGTGAGTGTCCTGTGGCAGAAAAAGGGATCCCCAGCCTCTGTCCTGGGCTGCGGAGGTCTTTGTTCAGACAGACAGACATTTGCTGTCACAATACAACCTTTCAAGTTACTCTAGCCTACAGGGACTGAACCTTGCTGCAGTAAGACAGCACAGTGCCAGAGCAGCACAGCTACTGCCCACGCAAAGAGAGAAGGCTGAGCGCTCGGGCCAGTGACCCAGCAATGTGCCACTGGCTCTGACATTTACTCTCCATTAACACTCCAAGAAAAACCACACTGGATTCTCCAAGGGAGAAAAGGATGGGTCAACCTCTATGTTTCTTCTCATCTTCTGTTTCTCTGGAGGAAAGGGTCCCAGTTCAACACCTGCCTGGAGAACAGCAGTTTGTTTCCCCCTTCGCTGCCTCCCAGGGGTTATTTTTAACTTGGTGTTTAGTTTGGATGAAAAGTCTGATACTTCACTGGCTCCCCATCTCGTTGCTGGAACAGAGCCTGCACTTTTGAGGAGGATGCATTGTGCAAGCCATGCCCCCCTGAGCTCCTGGGAAAACTGCCTATTTGTCTTGCAGCAGGGCAGGACACGCACTCTGCCCCGGGTGGCTGAGAGTCTGCAGGATGGGACATCTGCAGCACAGGCTCAAGCCTCAAACCCCACTGTGGGGCAGCGATCCAAAATACCAGGACATTTCTCTGCAGAGGTTCCCTCTAGCTGACATTTCAGCAACAACCTTTTCCAATGCATGGCATCCCTGGAAAACCAGGACAGGGCAGACAGCTGCATGGTGACATGGGTGGTGTGACCTTGGATCTTGCAACCCCACTATCTCTGTCCATGTATGAGGGATGTGCAGCACAGCTCCTGCATGACTGGAAGGCAGAAAACTCCTACCCAAGCCAGCAAGAGCAGAGCAGACTCCTCATCCACTGCAGATTCTCCACCTTGGACAGACCCAGCACTGCTTCACTGAGGGTGTTGAGAACAACCTGGCCCATACCCAGGAGCTGAAAGTTCATGCACGTTTTCCAGTGAGGTGCATGGCATTCATCTATTCAGACTTGGACACCTAAAACTTGGAGATCCTGGAGGATTCACTTCCATCATAGGCAGACACCTAGCACAGACTGGGAGAACTATACCCTGAGAGTCTCTGCATCGGGAGCATGTGGCCAGTCATTCCTAACTTGCCCTAGTCAGACCAGGGAATAGAGAATACCCCATTTCTGGCCACACTTGTCTCAAGATTAAAGTGCTCCATGAGCATCTTGTAGTGGGAGAGCAGCCTGCAGCTGGTGCAAAGCATGTTGGGCAGAAAGCACAGCCAAGATGGGAGAGGCATCAGCTTTCAGGAGCAGGCAAAGTGTTCTTAAGTGAGTTGCCAGCTCCCACCCCACAGCCCCCTGTGCACATGGGATGCCTAGGCAGGGGCTGGGGCTGCTGCAGCTCAGCTTTTATGACCCTCAGGACAGGCTGCAACCTGATTGCTTTCCCAGCCGGGGTCCTCTCGGCGAGTGAGAGTGGAAAATATTACAGGAAGGATTCTGATGTGTGGCCCATTTCCATATCTTGGCTTGTAACTGGGTTCAGTTTGCATTTTATGGACACTTGCTTTTAAACTGGAGTGAAAGGAGAAGAGGGGATTATTTTTGGTTTGGGGGTTGTTAAGGGGTTTTGGAGATTGCTGTAAGCCAGTCACTTAAAAACAAACCTCCATAAAAATGCTTCTCTGCTCACCACATTTTATACTGTTCATAACTTCTTTATGGGGGGAGGGGGTTAAGTTACTGCAGGTTTAAGAGATTATTTTCCTTTCTTTATGTACACTACTTGTGTATTTTGGTGCTTCACCACCGTGACAGTTCCTTGGGGTCTTTCAGAAAACCCAGAACTGTGACTTTTGGCTTGCTGGAAGTCAATTAGCTGTGGCCCTTACTGCTGCCCAGCTCTCCTCCCTAGCTTCACTTCTGCTGGCTCCTGCAGAGAAGTAGCCAAGACTTGCCTGGTCCCTAAGGGCATGGGGAGCATGCCAAGGCCAACCTGCCAGTCCGTAGCTGCTCACTTAGCTTTAGGTGTCCACCCTGACCTCTCCTGCTTCAGTTAACTCCAGTCTCCTGCCAGCAGGGGCACGTCCTGGCAATGGGGGTAATTTGGGATGGGAGGGCCTGTTCTACAGTTTGCTTGTTCAGACACACAACTCTTCCACCATCATGACCCATGCCAGGCAGCATATTGCTGTGCATAGGTTTGCTGCTGGGGAGCAGAGTGGGGCTGAATGCTGCCGTGGTGCTCTCCCATGTAGTCCAGCATAGTGGAACATTACTCATCTCTTACTTGGAGCATTACTTCCCGTGTTTGGAACGCACAAGGTTCATATATGTATTGCAAAGTCTCTAAATTTTCTTTAAATAACTTTTTTTAATTACCTGGCCAAAAATGTAAAGGAGGCCAATGGTCCCCCCTACTTGACCTCCAAGGACAGTAGAAATCATGGAGTAGACTCCTCCACTTCCAATGCTGCACTTCTCACATACCCCAATTCCAGACAAAACTGTCACCAGGGCAACCAGGATGACAAAGGACACCAGAAACATGCCCATTACAATGCCAGTGTTTCCCTGGAATGAAAAAATAAATAAAATCGAATAAAGATCAATTCACACCAACTCTGTTGAGACAGAAAAAGGACCTACCCACTTCTAGTCACTAGTGATCTATGAATCTGGAGTCATTACAGGTTAAAAGAAACACACACAGACACTCCTACATGTCTAATTAATGTAATTGATTGCCACATTTACAGCTCCTATTAGCACCTCTTTGATGAAGACTTGTCTCAGCCTGGGCAGACCTTTGCAGGTTCTGCTCAGTCACCAGGCTCCTGCATGAATCACTGATTTTGTCCTCTGGTTTAAAGGGAATGAGGTCAAACAATGATTCAGCCACCATGGGCAGGGGATCACCACCACCTATTTACATATTTTAGAATGACATGCTTCAAAAAACCAAAAAAGAAACCAAAAAAACAAACCACTTTCGTAACAAAAAGCAGTTTCAAAATTGAACCCATGGGATTTGTGAGAGCTGGTTTATTAACAGCATCAAGCCCGCATTTAAATTTTTCAGAACATTTACCTTTGAAAGCTCTGATCCTCCCAACAATGAGATCCCAAAGAAAAAAAAAACCAAAGGCAACACAGCGTGGAAGATAAATAACACTCTCATAAACCAGCGTGCGCCAGCCCTTATCTGCGGGACGTACGCGGAGTGGCAGGTGGCTCTCCCCTCCCTGCACTCAGAGGAGTTGTGCGCAGAGGATTCAGCCCTGCTGAAAAAAAAACAACCCTCCTTGGGGCGGAGGGAGGGTTCTGGGAGGAGCTGCTGCACCAGCCACAGTCTCACAGTGGGGTGAAGAGCCAAAGCGTCTGAACAAACACAGCTGGAGGTGCCTGCTGGAAGCTTTAAGGGCCAGCATAGCCCCTTTTTTGGAGGGCTCAGTTTGCCATTTAGGGTTGGATTTTCAGAAAGAGAAGGTGCTTAGTATCTCCAAAAGCATTCAAGGACCTCTTCTGAGTTCAGGATCTTTCCAGCACATGGCTGTAATTTATTTTCCAGGGTCAAAAGTTTTCCCTCGTGCTCCAGCCCACCTTCCCCTGCTGACAAATCACTCAGCTCAGTGCACAGCCACCAGAAATCTCTTCCAGTGCCCAGCGCTTCGTTAAGGTCTGGCTTCCCTTCCCTGCCTTTACTCATATTACAGGCCATGTCCACAACCTCCCTTTCCAACCTTGCTCCAGTAACGCTCATCTCTGAGGTCACACTAGCTGTGATGGGGTTTGTTTATCACCAGCACTAAAAGGCTGCTTCCCTGCTCTGGGGTTGGTTGAAATCCCAGATACTTTTTTTTTTTCCTCTCTTTTTTGTGGAAATAACAGAAACATATCCAGGATGTTGCTATCATCATAAAATCCTATTTTAGTTCAGCATCCTGCTGCCTTTGACAGGGGTGTTATCTGGTCAGTGGGGAACAGAGCCAAGGTTTGCTATAAACGCAGCTGCGGCTGGGTCAGCACCACGGCCCACTCCAACCCCACGCTCCTTTTTAAAAGGACAATTGTTCTTTTTCTTCATCTGCTTACCCTCAGGGTAAAGGGTTAATAAATCTGACATGCTTCAGTTAAAAGAAAAAAAAAAAAAAGGCAAACATATGCAAACATTCACAAAGCCTTGGGCTGTAGCCTTCGGCTTTTCCTGGTGCTGGTGGCACCAGGCTAAGGCAGCAGCTAGTTAATGGGCAATCCAATGGTTCCCACATTGGAAGAAGAGAAGGGATTAACAGAAGAAGGGATTAACACTAAAAGCAAGGAGGAAGGCTGGACTCACAAAAACAAGCAGACAAAGTGGGAAGAAAAAGCCTCCATTAAACACTGATACTTATCTATGCATGCTGGAATGGGTGAGTGCAGCAACAATCCCTGTTGAGCACTTCGGAAAGATTAGAGTCCCCTGGAACTGCAAAGCTTCACCAGCCCCAGCTCTGGCTCTGGAAATTTATAACAAAAGCCTGACTCTGCAAACAGCTCGACATATGACTGTCTTCTGCCCGGGGAGTTCTCTGCCAACCCAGACTTCTCCTCCCTTCCCTTTCATGCTAGCTTCCAGCTGGTTCAGTTTTCCTTTTATTTGCAGGCTTTATTTTTATTTGTGTTTGCTCCAGCAGTAACTTGCTTTCAAAGGAGATGTAGAGGAAATAAAATCAGAATGAAAAGGGAGCTAGAAAATCATCCCAACTTCCCCACCATGACAACTGCAGATCCATTCAACACCTCCAGCAACACAATTTTCAATACAGAGTGCAAGTGTCTTCCTGCTCCTTTTGGAAGATGTCCACTATGCCTGTGACATGAACTCTGCCTGAAGCTCAAACCCCACCCGTTCCTGGGGGAGCTTTCCTTCTTCTAAGGGAAAATTTTAAGGGACAATACAACACTTTGCATCAGGAGGGGAGCAGAGACACTTCAGGCTCTGACCTTCAGTGAGATACTATTCTGGATCCAGAAGTGGAAATCTCTTTCATAACGATGACAACTTCACCTGACTGAGGACTCTGTTCAAGAAATCAGAGAGTGCAACACTGACATGTTTGGAAGAGATCTGCTTCAGCGGTGTTGGAAAGACAGCAGAGTATCTGTAACTACAGTCATATGCTATATATGAAAAGCAGTTATTTTGTCTCAACAGTACAACTCAAGGGTGTCCCTGTTCATTGGCAAGCTTGGTTGTTGTGTTTTTTTCTTTCCAAAAGCTAAAATAGGAAACTACTTACAAAGACCTCTTCAGCCTTATATTTTAGTACAACTTTTTGAAATCCTACAAAATATCAGAGGGCGTAAGCAATGTCTACATTAAACAGCACCAAATCAAACACATTTGTGTGGTAGTAAAGACAGAAGGTAAGGAAGTATGGAAGAAAATGTCTATTCAAACGTTCAGTCAAGTCAGCACTCACTCACCACGAGCCATCCTGTCCTCAGGAAAAGAACCACTCCAAAAATGTTGATCATGCAGGAGGTGAAGACGCCATCCCACGTTCCAAAAAGCACTGGCTCCCATACAAACAGCTGGATCTTCCACCAGGGTTTGGTCTGCGTTTGAGACACCTAGAGAAAAGCAAAGCCTTCTGTTTTACCTCTCCTGTTTTATGGGCAGACTGCAGAAATGGTGCAACATAGCCACCAACAGCTGCTAAGACACCCCTTTGCTGCAAGTTGTCTCTAAAAATAAGGGGCAGTAGGGCTGTTGGGATCCCTGGGCCCTGAAAGAGAGGGTTCCCTGCAATACCCTGTTTATATTCTTGTAGGATAAGCAGCAACAGAATCCTGCTTGGCCTCAGTGAATTAACCCTGTTATATTAACCAAAAACACTATTCAAGGGTCCTCTACAGAGCCTGCAGCTATACATTGTGCTTCTCCTGTCCCTGCCAAATGCCCCACCAAAGCAATCAGGATACACAGTGGACAGGAGAAGTCTCCTAGAGGAGATGACAAATCAGGTTGGATGAGCTTGGACCAAGAGAGTAGGTTAAGATGGTCTTCCCATCACACATAGTCATGCCAGATCAGGACACTTTGTTTCTAGAGGAGAGACAGAATTCTAGTGCTTGGGGCACAGTGAATTTCAGAGCTGCTGGAATGAAGACCTGAAACTCCAGGGAAACTGCAGTTTTCCTATTGCAACTGTTTCCTCCTGCCCTCTGGAAATCAAGTCCCCTCTTTCTCTTTCTAATACACCGCAGCTTTACATTGCAAAACAAACGGCAGTTTTGCTACTTCAGTCCTGTTCACCTGCCACAGAGGTGACCAGGAGGAGTGCAGAAACCATGGAGGTGGAAAACTGGGAAAGGAAATGGCTCTCTGACATACCTGCTGTGCTTCCTCATGGAACAGCTCTTGGACACATCCCTCGCTTCGGGCACCATTCAGACTGAACATTGTATCCTTCCCGTTGCCTCTGCCTGCCCAATGCACAGCTGTAACACAACCACAGGCGAAGCTGATCCGAGTGGAAGGTCAGCTATTCTTCTCGGTCAAATTCCTGCCGTGCTGGATCCTCCGTTGTAGAAGATTCATGGTTTTATTGCACTTTACTATGAAAGCAGGAAAGACAGAAGACACGTCTGCTGCTTTCTTAGGCTGCCAAAGCACAAGGCTATTAACCAGATGGAGTCGACAGTGGCTCATAGCAGATGCTGAACTAGAGTGACACCACAGCAGGCAGAGAGCAGTGCTCCTGCAGCACCCTCCCAAGGCCTGCTCCTGGCACAGGCTCTGCCATCAGCCCTGCATTTAGCAACCCTTGGTGGCCTTTTCTGAATCTATCCATACCCCTGGCATGCCCAGCATCCTGTCACACTAGCTCCACAGCTTCACTGTGAGTTGTCTGCAAAATGCATTTCCTCGCATTGGTTTTACATCAGGTGCCTGGTAACTTCATTGCATGCCCCCGTGCTTCCACAACATAGGATATATGGATTATTTACTTCCCAGCAGCACTAATGACTTCACAGCCTTGATCACATCCCCTTCAGCTGTGCCTTTTGCAAACTAGGGTCCTGCCAATGTAACCTGCTACTGACAAGCGACCTCGTTACCACACTCTGCTCCTCTTCCAGAGTGACACAGAAGTGGAACTGGAGCAGCTAAAGGCATCCACCACCACAGACCACACTCTACATTGCTGATGCTCTCAGCCATTCCCTGCACTGATATACAGGAGCCTTTCTTCACAGTCATACCCACCCTTAGAGGGACAGTCATCTTGCCTGCAGTGGCCCAACTCCTACCTGCCACAGGCAGACCCTGGCAGTGGGTCAGGCTTAACTCAACACCATGTATGTACCAAGAAAGCAGCATCAGGATTTATTTCAAGGGTATCTTAGCACATCTTTACAGAAGAGGAAAGCTAGCACAATACTTCTCTGACTCAAAACTGCTGGTTCTTCCCCTCATCGTGATGTTTTTAAAATTAAGTTCTCTCTTGAACTGTGGAGAGGTGCTTTTGTACGTTTCCCTCCAGCTGGCTGCAAGTCTTAACTTCTCCCAAATGGTCTTGTGAAGGCCATTAATCAGTCACCCAGTTTCCCATACCAGTTGTCAACAGAGCCTTTTTGGCCATTCCTCAGTACAGCTACACCATGCCTAGGTAAGACACACAGGGCTACAGCCAGAAGGGAGGAAGACATGCCCCACAAATATGGAGAGAGCAGTTTGTCTAGAACATTGGCTCTCCTGGGGCTGATAGTTTTCTGGCCAATTGAGCTCACATGCTCACAAGAACCAATCATGATCACACAAGGATTGCACCAGTGGCTGGACACCTTACCTGAGACCACAGACTAAATTAATCACAGGCAGAGTGTAGAAATCTCTGACTCCTCAAGCTTGCAAACTCTGGAGACAAAGTCACCAACAAAAAGTGTGTTTTTCCTATTGCACAAGGACAGGGACATACAGAAACTACTTTGTGTCAGTCAGGATTTCTGCACCAGGGTATGAATCCCAGATCAGCACTTTCACCATCCTGCCCTTATTATTGTACTTTGACATACCCAATAATAAATAACCAAAGCAGATGCTGTTCCACCACGGTATTTCAGCTGCAGAAGGTCTCCTGCAGCTGGAGTACAATGGCCAGCACAGGAGGTTTTTCTTCACCCTGCCCATGTGGCTGGTTAAGCAGTACCAAAGCCGTAAGAGTTCATTGATTCCCCACTGCTCCCTCCACAGTTTTTGAAGCAAATAACCCTTCACAATATCAGAAATGGTTGCTGTTACAGGGAGATTGTGGCTTCAAGCAGGGCAAAAGCAGCAGGAGCAGATGAACTCTGAAGAAACAGAGCTCATGTGTTTATGTAAATAGCCACAGTAATAAAAAAAGGGAAGAAAATACACAACATGAAACAAGATTACAATTGAATAGCCATATTCTCCTAAGATTCCCCAATGCAGCATTTCCTCAACAGAGACTTCACTCCGTGAAGCATTCACTGCGGCCATTCAAATTCCAGTCTCCTACAGCAGACCCACCTGGATGTAGAAAAACAGGGAGGCTGCAGCCTTACAGCCCCTGTTCTCCTACACCACTCCTCCAAGGGAGCCCAGAAGGAGATGGCCCCAACCCCTTCGGGCAGCTCAGGGTGACTCGAGCCACTTGCTCAGTGTGCCCAGTGTGTAACCATGGGTAGGTTTGATGCACCCATATTACCCATCTGAAACTTGCAAAATACAGAAAGGACTGCACACATGGATTTCAGACCTGAAGCACACCTTCCAAGAAAAGTTAGCTGCCTAGACATTTAAATCCCCTTATCTAATAATTTCTTCCCTTTTTCTCTGCATTAAAACCCTCCTGCCCTGTGCTCTGGAGCCCTTTTTGCTCAGCTCTGCTTCTGCTCACCTTGGTGTAAGAGCTTTCTCCTCCTACAATCACAGGGAATTGTCTCTCCACTATTGCTCCTCTGTGGCATTTCCAACTGCCTAAAATCTTATTACTCAATTCTGCAATTATTTACATCTCTCCTCAATGCATGGATCCATTCATCCCTACGAGATAATCAAGGCAAACACAGGAGGGGGGATAAGGCACAGAAGTGAGAGCTGAACAAACACACCAGGACAGCTGCTGCATGCACAGCCACATCTCAATCCATGCGATGTGCATGTATTTTTGCAATTTAGGGTCTGTGAGTGGAAAGTCCTTGGGGCAGGAGCCTTCCTTTTGCCCCATGCAGGACACTATCAGCACAGCTTGGTTTCTAAGTTGCTGCACAGCACAGTGATGTTTTTGGGAGCTGTTATCTATCTAGGTCACCAACGCAGCGGAAACTTTTTCTGCTATACACACCAGCAGGCCAAACAAACCAAACAGGCACAATTTTCCTCTAATATAAGTGAACCTCTAACTTGAAAGTTAATTGATGTTATTTTTCCTAAAGTTTCAGCCAAATACACTAACCAGTCTATAAATTAAAGAATGGCTGTTTTAATCTTTCCATAACATTTAGCACTCAAGAGAGCAGAAGAGCATTAGCAAACCTCGCAGAAACATTACAAAGGCTCATCCCCTTTTCCTATGACACTTCTATATTTAATTACAAAACCAGATTCCTATAGATTAAATTTCTGTGCCCTCTGCATCTTTTCAAAACACTATTTTATTAATCATCACATTAAAACTATTTCTGAGCTAAGCGTCACTGCTCTGAGCTACTCAACAGCTGGCTGATTTTACAGAGGAAAGGTTAATGCCTTCCCAAGCACAACTGCGTGTGGTCCCACGACCTCTGCAGCCTCCGTCCCTGCCAGAGGAGGTACTTCCAAGCCTCCCTCCCCTCAAGGGACCCAGCAGCCAACAGCACTTTAGTTTTAATAAATCCCTTCAACTCCTCTCCAGGTCAAATTCTTAAAAACACCTAATTTAGGGGACTCTGAGGAAGTCAGGAATTAAGAGGAAATAAAGCTAGCATCAATGCAACGAAGGTAACACCACCCAGAGCAGCGCTTGGCTATTCCCAGTTACTCATTTACTGTGCCAGCCAGGACAATTACCCAGCTCGTTCTGTTTTCACATATCTTCGCAGTGTAGCGAGGGCTGCGGAGCACCGGAGCTGGGAAACACGCCCGGGCTCTCCCCAGGAGCTCCAGTTTCCCGGTGTGGCCGGACGGCTCCGCTTTAGCAGAGGCCACGATGGTGCCAACACCTTCGTTCCCAAGGCTCTGCAGCCACCACCGCGCCGAGCTGCCCGGACAGCGTTCCAACGACCTGTTCCCTCTTCCCTTTGCTTTTTTTCCCTATTATTTCCTTCTTTTTTTTTGTTACTTCCCCCTCTCCT